CTTCTCCTCCTGCTCGCCGCGTTTCAGCAAGGTGAGACCTAGATTCTGCTCTTTACACAACACCGAGGATTATGGGTAATGTAGCCCATAGACTCAAGGATTCATCTAGTGCATCTGAATCACAGGTGTACAGCAGCATGGAGCATCTGTCGCAGCTGGAGCACAAACCCGTGGTGACCCGCCGAGAGCCCAAAGCTCACAGAGAAGATCGCAGTAAGAGGGAAAGTCTGGGCAGCCTGACCCTCCGAGACAAGAGCTGGAGAACCGGATCCCCCGAGATGTAAGACAAGACAGTACAACGACCTCCCAGAATAGCCCAGCAACACTCTAGTAACCACTCAGAACACCTTAGAAACCACCTAGCAACCACCAGAGCTGGGTAGTAACTGATTACGTGTAATTTGGATTACATTATCAGATTCCAAAAATGAAGTACTTGTAATCAGATTAAATTACATTTTAAATTGCTTGTAATCAGACTACAGTTACTTGATTACATGATTACATATTATTCACACAATAGCAATACATTATTCCAGTCACTAGTCAGGGGGTGACATGGCATTTTAACACTGGATTCATTTCAAGTTTTAAGTGCTTCAGCATTGCACTAACTACTGATGAACACATTAATTTTTTATTTGAATTATCACTCAGTAGGTTATTTAACCATGTATATAGTTTTGGAAGGCTTTTGTCTTTCAAAATGCACAAATTCACATTATTTCTTATTTGCATGTAGTGCAGTATATTAATACAAGTATATTAAAATAAATGTTAATAATTAAGTATCACATTTGCATGTTCATGGTTCTCTGATGTTGGTTAATGGTCACATGACATGCATGTAAACAAATAAAATATTTCCTTTTTAGTAAGTGTTTTATTTTGATTGATGTTATTTTAAAATGGCTTTTTTTTTATTTTTTATTTAATTAATTATTAGCTTTTTCATTAAACTCACAAACCCCCTGCAGTTCATTTACGAACCCCAATTTGGGAAACCTTCATGTAATGGAATGTATAACATACTTCATGTTGTTAAAGGGGTAATATGATGCGATTTCAAGTTTTTCTTTCTCTTTGGAGTGTTACAAGCTCTTGGTGCATAAAGAAGATCTGTAATGTTGCAAAGACTAAAGTCTCAAATCCAAAGACATATTTTTTATAAAAGTTAAGAGTCAGCCACGCCTAAAACGGCTCGTTCTAACACGCCCCCACATGTCTACTTCACTGTGTGGGAAGATTTGCATAACGGCACCCAAATGTTCACGCAAAGAAAGAAGCCGTAACTTTTATTCTCGCTGTAGTATTGTTGCCGCCGCCGCCATGTCGTGGAGAAGCGGTGTGCTTCGTTGTGCAAGCGAAACTACTTTGTTTGGCCTTCCAAAAGAGGACGATATCTGCTTCGTCTTGCCTGGAGCGGTTCCATGCTGGTCGCTGAGGAAATACAACAACTTCGCGCTGTGGCTCGCTGGATCGGCTTTCACCGTGGACGAAGCGGAGTCCAGCCCGGGGTCGTCACATGTTGTTGCCGCAAGCCCTCCGGTGGCT